ATAGCTTATTTGATTTATTTTTGGATAAAGTTATTAGATAGATAATTAATCTACTTGAAATTCTCTATCATTTGATATAAAAAGTTCATGAAAGCATGATTGGATGATGAATTTCATTACTTGGGTGAATGATAAACAAGTTGTATTTTGGTGATTTAAAGCTTGATTTTCATGTTATTAGTGTTGTGGATTAATTTCCAAACTTATGTGATGAATAAAATTTACTAGAAATGAATATACAAGATTCGGCCATGGTTAGGGACATTTATGTGTAAAACTGCAATTCAAAGTGTTCAATGCTGGAAATTAATACTTGGATGTTGAATTTTATGTTTGAATATTGTTTTGGAACAAATTTGCAAGTTTGGGAAATTTTAGTGGCTAATTTGAATGGGTTAAGAATTTTGGGATTTAATTGCAAGTTTGTAAAAGAGGAAGTACTAGATTGAATATATTATTTGTAGAACTAATATTTTGATATAACAAATAAGGACAAACATATTTTTGGACCAAATTGAATTTGTTCAAACTTTGCAAAATTAATTCAAAGTTTTTAAGTTTTTAAAAGGTGAAACAGACAATTTTGGGCATGGTTTTGAAACCCCTAAGGCAAAATGTAAATTTGGCCTATAGGTTTCAAAACCTTATGTTCAAACGATCAAAATTTTAAATGAAGGTTTCAAAACCCTCTTTAAAGTTTTCGAAACTCCTACGTAGAATTGCAGATTTTTCAGCTCTCAAAGGCTCCAAATCATCCCCAACAGCTAGAAATGGCTAATAACTCATTCCAACATATAAAAACCAGTTGAGGACACTTGAAGAAGGTTATCAACACCTATCCAAGCATTCATACACAAGAAAAAAGTTTTTCAATCATTATTTTCTTTCTCTTGTAATTATTTGTGTTTTGAGCTTAATTGTATATCCTTAGGTTTTTTTGTGAGTTAAATCATTGTAAACACCAACCTAGATAGGTCTTCTTGTTTACACATTTCTTATCCTTTGTAAAGGGGTTTTGGTTCTAGTTTAGACAAGTGAAAAACTAAGGAATTGTAAAGGTTACTCTTGATCCTTGAAATATAAAGAACAAATTAGTGGATTTGTTGGAAAATCCTAAGTGAGGAGCTTAGGTAGTGGATGTAGACTTCATTGAGGGAGTTAAACCACCATAAATCATTGTGAAAAATTTCCTATATATATACTCCTTACTCCCTAAACTTCAAAAAGTCAATTCACCACCTCTTGGTATATTTTGATTGATTGATCGAGCTTCAACGAACTCAAAATTGGCATCATAGCGTATCACAAATCGAAGATCTAACAACCTTGTGAAGATCCTTGAAGCTCTACATCAATTTCTTAAAGCAACCGAGAATATGGCTTTTTCCTCTAACGCTTACTACATCGAAGAATCTCAACCAGTTAGCAAGCCATCTTATTTCAATGGGGCAAATTATGCTTATTGGAATAATAGGATAATGCTCTTCATTTAGGCTACCGATCTATATGCTTGGAGCTCTATCTTGATGGGTCACTATACTCCAACTAGAGTTATGGAGGAATGGAGTGAAAGAGAGAAGAAAGAGTTCCAACTCAATGTTAATGCCATGCACATTTTGTTTTGTGCATTAGGCCCGAATGAATATGGAAGAGTCTCCTCTTGCTCAAATGCCAAGGAGACTTGGGACAAGCTCCAAGTCACTCGTGAAGGAACCGATGAAGTGAGGGAAACAAAAATCGGTCTTCTCAATCATAGCTATAAAAATTTCAAGATGAAATCGTATAAATACATCAAAGATATGATGAATATATTTTTCATGATTGTCTACGGTCTCAAGGGATATAGAGATATCACCCCTAATTAGAAGCTTGTTAGGAAGATGATATATTCTCTTCCAAATCTTGGCAATCGAAGAAAATGGCGATCATTGAAGCGAATAACTTAAAAACTCTATCGCTTGATGAACTTATTGGCTCTCTTCTCACTCATGAGATGATGGAAAATGAGAAAGAATAAGAAAAAGAGAAGAAACAAGAAAACAAAGAAAAGTGTTGCCTTAAATCCTCTACTTAAGATGAAAGCACCTCAAGTGAAGAAGAGGATGAAGAAGAAGAAATTGCCAAGTTCTTCAAGAAATTCAAACGATTTATGACATCCAAAGAAGACAAGAAGCATGAATCGAGCAAAAAGAAAGGTCTCCTGATATGCTTTGAGTGCCAAAGGACGGAACATGTCAAGTATGAATGTTCTCTCCTAAAAAGAAAGTGATCAAGCAAAAAGAAGGCATTTGTTGTGGCTTGGAGTGATGAAGATAACTCCGATGATGATGAAGTAGTCAATCTATGCCTCATGGCCATCGAAGAACTCAATGGTAACTTCTAACTCTTGTGATTTTAATGTTATTCATTTAAAGAGTTACAAGATGCCTATGATGAGTTGTATTTGAAATTTGAGACCAGAATTCCAAATATATAATACTCTAAATTTCATAATTAAATCATTTTTATGAAATTATCGATATGTTATCATATATCAAATTTTAATTATTTTATAATTTAAGTTGATTAGAATGTAATATATGTTTATTCTTTCTTAGTCGTTGACAAACACATACATTTTACGTACAATTACTCGAACTAAAAACTTGTTATAGAGAACAAGATTCTATTTAACTATTGATGTTACCGAATTTTAATTATTTTTAATTCTAACATCGACTAAAGAAATGTACAAAGTCTATGTTTTATGGGAAGAAATGTACAAAGTCTATGTTTTCTTTTATTTCTTTTTTACCAGTAGTCCATGGCTACGGGTTGACCGACCCAAACCTTAAAATCTACTTGCAGCACTTGCATAGAAACCGAAAAGGAAAATTCACAGCTCCCCCTGTAAACCCTAAAGCTTCTCCCCATTTTTCCTTGAGCTTGTCGAAGGTGAAGAAAAAAAAATGGAGAATTCGAGTCAAGAATCCCACCTGAGTTCCGATAACTCCGTAACCTTGAGCTAGAAATGGCTAATAACTCATTCCAACATATAAAAACAAGTTGAGGACACTTGAAGAAGGTTATCAACACCTATCCAAGCATTCATACACAAGAAAAAAGTTTTTCAATCATTATTTTCTTTCTCTTGTAATTATTTGTGTTTTGAGCTTAATTGTATATCCTTAGGTTTTTTGTGAGTTAAATCATTGTAAACACCAACCTAGATAGGTCTTCTTGTTTACACATTTCTTATCCTTTGTAAAGGGGTTTTGGTTCTAGTTTAGACAAGTGAAAAACTAAGGAATTGTAAAGGTTACTCTTGATCCATGAAATATAAAGAACAAATTAGTGGATTTGTTGGAAAATCCTAAGTGAGGAGCTTAGGTAGTGGATGTAGACTTCATTGAGGGAGTTAAACCACCATAAATCATTGTGAAAAATTTCCTATATATATACTCCTTACTCCCTAAACTTCAAAAAGTCAATTCACCACCTCTTGGTATATTTTGATTGATTGATCGAGCTTCAACGAACTCAAAATTGGCATCAGAGCGTATCACAAATCGAAGATCTAACAACCTTGTGAAGATCCTTGAAGCTCTACATCAATTTCTTAAAGCAACCGAGAATATGGCTTTTTCCTCTAACGCTTACTACATCGAAGAATCTCAACCAGTTAGCAAGCCATCTTATTTCAATGGGGCAAATTATGCTTATTGGAATAATAGGATAATGCTCTTCATTTAGGCTACCGATCTATATGCTTGGAGCTCTATCTTGAGCACATTTTGTTTTGCATTAGGCCCGAATGAATATGGAAGTCTCCTCTTGCTCAAATGCCAAGGAGACTTGGGACAAGCTCCAAGTCACTCGTGAAGGAACCGATGAAGTGAGGGAAACAAAAATCGGTCTTCTCAATCATAGCTATAAAAATTTCAAGATGAAATCGGATAAATACATCAAAGATATGATGAATATATTTTTCATGATTGTCTACGGTCTCAAGGGATATAGAGATATCACCCCTAATTAGAAGCTTGTTAGGAAGATGATATATTCTCTTCCAAATCTTGGCAATCGAAGAAAATGGCGATCATTGAAGCGAATAACTTAAAAACTCTATCGCTTGATGAACTTATTGGCTCTCTTCTCACTCATGAGATGATGGAAAATGAGAAAGAATAAGAAAAAGAGAAGAAACAAGAAAACAAAGAAAAAGTGTTGCCTTAAAATCCTCTACTTAAGATGAAAGCACCTCAAGTGAAGAAGAGGATGAAGAAGAAGAAATTGCCAAGTTCTTCAAGAAATTCAAACGATTTATGACATCCAAAGAAGACAAGAAGCATGAATCGAGCAAAAAGAAAGGTCTCCTGATATGCTTTGAGTGCCAAAGGACGGAACATGTCAAGTATGAATGTTCTCTCCTAAAAAGAAAGTGATCAAGCAAAAAGAAGGCATTTGTTGTGGCTTGGAGTGATGAAGATAACTCCGATGATGATGAAGTAGTCAATCTATGCCTCATGGCCATCGAAGAACATTCAATGGTAACTTCTAACTCTTGTGATTTTAATGTTATTCATTTAAAGAGTTACAAGATGCCTATGATGAGTTGTATTTGAAATTTGAGACCAGGAATTCCAAATATATAATAACTCTAAATTTCATAATTAAATCATTTTTATGAAATTATCGATATGTTATCATATATCAAATTTTAATTATTTTATAATTTAAGTTGATTAGAATGTAATATATGTTTATATTCTTTCTTAGTCGTTGACAAACACATACATATTTTACGTACAATTACTCGAACTAAAAACTTGTTATAGAGAACAAGATTCTATTTAACTATTGATGTTACCGAATTTTAATTATTTTTTAATTCTAACATCGACTAAAAGAAATGTACAAAGTCTATGTTTTATGGGAAGAAATGTACAAAGTCTATGTTTTCTTTTATTTCTTTTTTACCAGTAGTCCATGGCTACGGGTTGACCGACCCAAACCTTAAAATCTACTTGCAGCACTTGCATAGAAACCGAAAAGGAAAATTCACAGCTCCCCCTGTAAACCCTAAAGCTTCTCCCCATTTTTCCTTGAGCTTGTCGAAGGTGAAGAAAAAAAAATGGAGAATTCGAGTCAAGAATCCCACCTGAGTTCCGATAACTCCGTAACCTACGAATCACCCTACACGGTTTACGCCATGGCCGTATCTTCAACCCCATCCCCCACGAATCTCAACCATCAATCCATCGCTCTCGGCAGTTTCCTCGAAGACTACAGTAACAGAGCCGACATAATCTCCTTTGATCCAGACACGCTTTCCGTCAAAACCAACCCAACCCTTTCCTTCGACCACCCTTATCCACCCACAAAGCTCATGTTCCAACCCAATCGTAAATCCTCCTCCTCCTCCTCCTCTTCTTCTTCCGATCTCCTCGCTTCCTCCGGCGACTACCTTCGTCTCTGGGAAGTTCTAGAATCTTCCATTGAACGTCTCTCCGTTCTCAACAACAGCAAATCCAGCGAGTTTTGTGCCCCTTTAACTTCCTTCGATTGGAACGATGTTGAACCCAAGAGAATCGGGACATCCAGCATCGACACTACGTGCACCATTTGGGACATCGAGAAGGGCGTCGTCGAGACCCAACTGATCGCTCATGATAAAGAGGTTTACGATATTGTTTGGGGTGAAGCTAGAGTTTTTGCGTCCGTTTCCGTTGATGGGTCCGTCAGGATTTTCGATTTGAGGGACAAAGAACATTCCACGATCATTTATGAAAGTCCTCAACCCGACACCCCTTTATTAAGGTTGGCTTGGAACAAGAGGATTTGAAGTATATGGCTACTATTCAAATGGATAGCAACAAAGTTGTGATTTTGGATATAAGGTCACCCACGATGCCGGTGGCTGAGTTGGAGCGCCATCAAGCCAGTGTCAATGCCATCACCTGGGCTCCTCAGAGTTCTAAGCATATTTGTTCTGCTGGGGATGATACGCAGGCTCCTATTTGGGAGTTGCCTACGGTGGCTGGACCTAATGGTATCGACCCTTTGTGTGTGTACTCTGCTGGCTCAGAAATCAATCAGTTGCAGTGGTCTGCTGCTCAACCGGATTGGATTGGCATTGCTTTTTCTAACAAAATGCAGCTTCTCAAAGTTTGAGGTTTGGGACCGAATTTTCCTTCTCGAAAGTATTAAGGTTGCGTTTGGTTCACGGAATAAAAGATTACCGGTGGGAATAAAAGATTACCGGTGGGAATAAAAGATTACCGGTGGGAATAAAAGATTACCGGTTGGAATAAAAGATTACCAGGGAATAGGATTACTGGTAATGTTACGTTACTGTGTTTGGTTGATTTGGCAGAAATGTAAGATTATCATGTTTGGTTGAAGGAATAAAAGATTACTGGAATGCATATTTTACCAAATTGTCATTGTTCTATATTTTTAACAAGTAAAATTCTAAATATTTAAATAAAAATTATTTATATAAAAATTCTATATGTTAAAAATATATTATTTGAATATTTAAATATATAATGTATTATTTTAATTTTAATTAATGTTAAATTTTACATAATTTATGGTAACAATATATTAATGTTTACATTGTGGAACTAGCTTCAGTTCATATATGACACATTTATTGGAAGTTTTCTTGAATTTTTCAATCGACAAGCTTTACATTCTTCTATATACAATAATTTAGTCATTTGATTCATACTTATGTAACTGGATTAGTATCCGCAACAAATGTTAAAACATAGAGAATTTAATAATAATTCATAGATTAAAACATAAACATCCGATAAACAATCTATAGTAACAATCCTGAAGCTCTAGTTAAAGAGAATGTCACAAAACAGCTATTAGAATAGATGGCAATTGTCATCTAATTGACCATCATCCATGGTCCATACACATGGCCTTCTTCTCAAGTTGAATGCAAGAGAAGAATATTTCAGGCTTTCCGTCTACTTCTTTGCATAAGTAATCAACATCTGATTTTGCTGCATCTTGAAACCTTGTAGTGCTTGCATCGCAACTGTTGATTGCATCTCGTTTTCATGCTCCACAAAGGCAATACCTGGTTTTGTTTCCACCATTATGACATCCTTTAAACCAGGGTATTGATTGAAGAGCATTTGCAGCATCATTGTGGTTGCTTCATGAGGAAGATTCTTTTTTTTAATGGAAATTGAGCAAGACAAACTAAAGATAGATTCAACAACGATGACCAGGGTCTCAAAAAAAAACATGACAGATTCTAGAAATAAAAGAAGTTTTAGAAAACTATCATTGCAGTCACAATTATTGCTCAAATGCAACCTCACTTCTTCTTGGCGGCAGATTTGGTGACCTTGGCACCGGTTGGGTCCTTCTTCTAGACGCTCTTGATGACACCAACAGCAACGGTCTGGTGCATGTCCCTCACAGCGAAACGTCCAAGACGTGGGTACTCCGAGAATGTCTTCACAGCCATAGGCTTGGTCGGAACCATCTTCACCATCCCTGCATCAACGTTCTTCAAGAACTTGGGCTCCTTCTCAAGCTCCTTCCCAGATCGCATGTCAATCTTGGTCAACAATTCAGCAAATTTCACGGCAATGTGGGAGGTGTGACAGTCGAGAACTGGGGCATATCCATTTCCAATCTGACCAGGGTGGTTCATGATAATGACTTGTGAGGTGAAGTTGGTTGCCTCGTTGGCAGGATCATCCTTTGAGTTCGAAGCAACATAACCACGCTTGAGATCCTTAACAGCAACATTCTTAACATTGAATCCAACGTTGTCACCAGATAGAGCCTCCGGGAGGGATTCATGGTGCATCTCAACAGACTTAACTTCAGTGGTCAGACCAGTGGGGCCAAAGGTCACGACCATTCCAGGTTTAAGGACACCAGTCTCAACACGACCAACAGGGACAGTTCCAATACCACCAATCTTGTAGACTTCATGAAGTGGATTCTGAATAACAAAATGTTATTTGGTGGCGTGGGAGCTTCTGGAACAATTGGTCTAGCACCCAGGTAGGGTAATTGTGATACCTGCAGCATTTTGGAGGAAAAGAATGAGAGAGTAATGAGAAATATCTACTCTCTTAACATTCTCCCTTTTCTTGATATGTAACTGATACTAATTTCAAAGTAAAAAATATAACTAGACCCTCAAACAAATAACCATGTTTTTCATTCGATTGCAACTCAAAAGTATCCAATTTTCAACTGTTAGTGTTGTGCACCATCACGAGTCTCATAGAATATAATGATATAGAATGGTCAAGTTCACTTGGCATCCGAGATTTCATCAGAGCAAACAAATAGGCCAGAAGTTTTTAACACAGCAAAGCAAAGAAAATTCCCATGTAGTTGAATAAAGATGCTCTTGCAGCAACCAAATTCAGCAGCTCAGAAGTTATAAATTTGGACAAAGACTGAAATATATAACCTTCTAAATAATCCATACTAACAGAATAATAAAAGTTAATTTCAACCAGGGTTCATATAGAGAGAGAAACGTGGTCGATCCATAATAAGACACTATATTCATATCACTTACAGGAGGTGTTGCACCGTAAGCACCCGCATAACCTGGATTCAAACATGCACAACAATTAACAACACAAGTTGACAGACAGAAGAAAAAGTGCAATATAAATGCAAAGTAGACAAGCCAACTGTTGGATATACAACCTGAAGAACACTGAATCCACCCTCTGCAAAATTTTGTTGGTAGAGCCCAATATTTGCTCCATTTACTATGGCTTCATAATTGGCATTTTTTCCAACCAATCATGTATTAATGATATATAAAATAATAAGTTTTCGCCAAAATTATCGAATTCCTATACAAGTTTTTGCCAAAATTTATGAAATAACAATGACATACCCAGTTACCCATTGATAATCCAAATTAAAAAGAACAAAAGAATTATATGAAATACTATGAGAATTCAATTAATGTGCAATCGAACTTTCCAGCTTTTTAAAGCGTAAGCTTAGGGAATCCAAAGTAAATTGATAAGCAAACGAAATTGAAGGTTTACATACTTGATGAGGGAGATAAGGCGTTTCTCGGCGGCGATGATTTGATCGGTAGATGTCGGAATCCAACGGAGAACGGATGGCCATGAGGATTTTCGTTTGACTACGGTGGTTGATGCAGAGGATTGAAATTCGGGTTGGTTAGTTTCTTCCACCATTTTTATCGAAATCAAACTGGAAGAACGATCGAGAGAGCGGTTCGTACAATGTATGGGTTGTTTCTTTTCTTTGAGAATGGGAAAACACAAGCATTTTTCTTCGTTTTTATATGCAAAAGATTTGATTTTGAGTCTAGAAGGTGAATATTATAAGAGTTTAGGAAAAAGAAGAAGAAGGTTGTGATGAATCAGAACGCGTTTGTTGAAGCCATAGAATCATATAACACGAACGAAAATAGAAAGCAGAACAAACCTAGATTTCATATAAAACAATGAATTTCACTGCTGAGAAAATAAAACAAAGGGAGTGAGAAAAAATCTTACCAGGAGAATGGGAAAATGATTTTTTTCGCAGAGGCAAGCTCGGAGAAGAAGATATGCAGAGACAAACGGGGAAACGAAAGGTATTTTAGCCCTTAACACGGGAATGAAAAAATACCAAAGATATATGTGGGAATAACATTCCCAGGAATAAACACCCCAACATATACTGTTGGTATTGAAATATTACCCTCACTTGATAATCTTACCTAACCAAACATAGGCATCTTTAATCAGGAAAAAAATGACGGCTGAAAATGATAGAATTCTTGATCCAAACACACTCTAAAGTCTGATAGTTTGCTTCATAGAATGCTTAAGCTTGTATTCCTCTTTGAGTTAATTTGTGGAATCTGCTATATTTAAGCATGTCATTTATGTTATAACTTTGCTCCATTAATGAAGTAAAGTTCCTTCAAAAATCTTTGGTGAAATTCCTTTAGTTCATCAAATAGTGAATAATACCTCCAAAAATTTTAAGTTTGGCATAGTTGATGTTTGATATACTTTATGCAATACAGCTGAATAAAACTTCCCCTTTTTAGATAATATGAATTTGATTTAGTTTGAGAAAAGAAATTCACTAAGCGTCAAGGTCATCAAATTATGATTAATTTCTTGTTAAGGAATTCAACATAAAATAATATTTTGTGGCCGAAAAATAATTGAGGATAAGTGTGAATTCCATCTTGTTGAAACTTGTAAGTTGACTAGAATCAAACAATTTATCTGGTTTGAAAGACATGTCATCTCACTGTGCATCATAGGACTGTCCTTGATACACGATAGCAATTAACTAAGCCAATCATGTAACATATACTATGAGGATGAAATAAAAGTTTCCTTAATCTGGATCAAAAGGGAAAATCTTAAGTTTTATAGTTAATTGCTCTGCTTCAAAGCAGAAAGCTTTCCTCTGTAATGTTGATAAAAAAACATTGTGGTGGCCCATGCTTCTAAAATCTAAATCAATAATGTGGTTTGAGAGAGAAACACTCCCAGGGTCGAGTTCTAATGCCCAAAACGTATGGATTGCTGCTTTTACCTTCGGTTATGTATGTGAGAAATTTGAGGTTATTTGTATTTGCTTTAGTGAGCTAGGTAATTGACCAACAGAATTCACTTGTGGGTTTCTTTTGTGAGAATGCCTTGTTAAAAATATTTATTAGATGGTTTGTGTTCCATGTGAGCATGAGTTGTTTAAATCCTTATGGCACAATGAAGACATGCAAAAGGGATATGTTTTGCATTTGATACTTTATTGAACAGAAAATTTGATTCAATGTGAAGTTCCCTCAAGTCTAGGTGAGGATGGTTTGTTGTTTCTGATTGATGCACTTTGATTCAATGTGAAGATCCTTTCATGTCTAGATGAGGATGGTTTACTGTTTCTGATTGTTGCATTTAGCTTGGTTGATAGTGAGTTGTATGCTTTGATATGTTGTTTATTGAAGAACTCTTTGGTTGTATATCTTCATGGAAGCCACTTGAATGAAATATCATGAAGACCTGTTAGAGATCCTATATATATATACTTCAATGGAACTCTCGAGCTATAAAGCGGGGGATGGCAAAGGAACCCCGTTTCAATTACCCGATACATCCCTGTCACGGGGTGGTTGGGGTACGTACTGGGGATGTGTCACTGTGGCGGGTATTGCTGAACGAACTTAGGGACGTTCGATGTTTACTTGGGATGTTTCGGGGACGGTTTGTGACTATCGTGACACTGCAAACAGTGGCAAGAGAAGCTTCAGCTCTCCCTTACTAGATCTTAAACGACGCGCACGACGGTCAAAGAAAAAAGAAAGAGAGAAGGTCATGATCGTAGGATTGTTGCCGGCGACCTTTCTTACCTCAAAATAGCAAAATGGCGACGTGATGGTGGAGCGATGACAGCTAGGGTTTGTGAAAAGAAAGAAATAAAAGAAAGCGTGGGGTAGAAAGAAGAGTTAGAATAGGATTTAAAGAAATTTTGGTCTAATTGATGGGTTGATCCCTGAACTTTCTAGAGTTTTTAAATCTGGCAACAAGTTTTGCAGTATTTTCAAATTGACCACCAAAATTAATTTAGGGATTTGAGAAATAAATTCCCAGATGTTAGGATTTTTAACTAGGGCTAAATTAGGGTGTTACACTAATTATCTATGAATAATTGAATGTATTAATGATATTTTACATCTATTTATAATTTAAAAAAAACACCGTCCCCATACCTTGTAATTTTAAAAATTGTCATTTCCCGTCCTTGTATTTGTATCAGTGTAGCATAGCTCTCGAGTAGCTTAGGTTCGCATCAACGGCGAAAGAACATGTAGTGTTGTGTGGTATTTGTTGTAGTAGCATGAATATGAGTAGTTGAAGCTTCATATTGGATGATTAGTGCATGTTCAAAACAACGCTGTATTTAATAGAAAGCTTTGATCTTAGGTTTAGTTACATAAAGTATTTACACAAAGAAAAGCTTATATATTTAGTTGTGTTTGTCAATACATAAAAGAAGAAACGGTAGAAATCTAGCCTTCAAACTAGAAAACGAGTAATATATCTGTTCAAAATAAGTCATTAAAGCATGAAAGAGAACAATACTTGGGAAGGGAAACAAAAGAAAATGTCTTTAGAAAGAGGGGAAGGAAAAGGGGGAAAAAGATTTAAAAATGTTAACCTAGAAAAATATAACAAACTTAAATAAAACTACCTTGATCTTTCTCTTCCCCTTCATTTTTCATTTGAGTCAACAGGCTTTTGGGAGTTATAAGATAATCATTAAATTTATTAAAAAGTTTTATTTTGATCCTTCATTATTATTTATAGTTAAAGAATTACCTGTCCAGCTCAATTGGTAGAGTACAAGGATCTTAACCTTGGGGTCGTGGGATTGAGTCCCACGGTGGGCAATTTATAATTTGGAGGTCTTCCACGGAAACTGCTCTCAACCTGGTGTTGGGGGCAGCCTATTATCCTACCTCTCCCTTACCCCATTACATATGGGAATAAGGGTCAGCTAATTATTATTTATAGTTAAAAGGATGAGTGACGTTAACTATTTTGATCCAACTCAGCAAGCAATCCAATTTGACTCTTTGACCAATGTTTTTAATTTTTGATTTGTTACGGTGCTGATGTGACAGTTTACGGTACTGATGTGACAGTTCACGGTGCTAACATGACAGTCCACGATGCTGACATGACTGTCTACAATGATTGATGACGTGGTGGATGACATGACATATGGGTTAAATTGATTTTTTTTATTTTGTCCAAAGGTCAATTTGATTTTTTTTAAAGTTCAAAGGATTATTTAATTTTATAAAAAATTAAAATTATTTTAAACTATAAATATAAAATTATTCAAATATTTAAAAAAATTAAATATAAAATATACTAAAAAGTAAAATTAAATTACTAAAAAATTGAATATACATATTCAAAATATTAAAATTATTGTAAAAATATTAT